GGGGGCTTGGTCACTGATCATCTTAGCCAAGCAAGTTCTCTGTTGGAGAGTCAGTCAAGGGAGATAGCAGCATGATAATGTATCAATCAGGATTCTAAAGTACATGGGATTGAGCAGTTGGGAAGTAAATTGAGATAAAAAATGGAGGAAGCAGGTGCAGTGAAAAGTAAGAGTAGATTACATCTCAGCTTGGGGTGGATGTTACTGATGCTGAGTACGAACCATAGCATTCCTTGTCTAATCTAGTTTGTCAATATAAAACTTAATAGCCTTTCTATAATGTCTTGGCAGATGATCAATAATTAGTGCTTGCTTTTTTTATCTCTCTTCATTTGTAGATGTTGCTCATTCTTCCAGCTACTGGACATCTCATTACTAAATTCCATTGATAATTAGTGTCTACTTTTGCTCAGTGCTTTCAAGCTGATCAATTAGTCGACTATATTTTTTTGTAGATTCTGATCTTTGGCTAAGTCTCCTGGTTTCTAAATTTATTTTCTCTTGACCAATAAAGTTTCTCTTGACCAATAATTCCCTTAATTATTTGCATAATCCCCTCTCCTCTCCCTTGAACTCTCAATTGTCTTCTCCTGTTTTATTTTTCTCCATGCCACTTACCATTGCATGACTCACCATTTATTTTACTTGTTTATTTATTGTCTGTCTGTCTCACTAACATTTAAACAGGAACTTCTGAATCTTATGTCCATTGTTGCATCTCCAGCACATAGAATAATGCCTCACACAAAATAGTTGCTCAATAAATTTTGTGGAATAAATGACTAGTGAAAGGATCTTTTACTACTGTAGTTTGCTTTTACAAGTGGTGCACGTGTCTTGCTTCATAGTTAGGACTTGAATATTGTTTCAATTAGCATATTTTTGTCCATGTTAATAAAATGCCTGAAGAAAAGGGGATTAAAAAATAGGGATTTATTTTGCACTCATAATGAAAAAGACAAGAGGTGCGTTTAGAGTTGGATCACTGAGTTCTATCATTGTCGAGTTTCCAGACTGACTTCCTTATTCTCTTGATTTTCACTTTCATGGTGGCTAGGTAGTTTCTTTATTCAAAGATAGGAAAAGGGGGCTTATATAGTTCTACTCATCTCTTTTATGAGAAAGAACAATCTTTTCCAGAAGTTACTAGCAGACTTTCTCTCAGGACCCACTGGCCATGATGGGGACACATGCCCATGATCTGGCTGCAAAGGAGGTTCTGAAAGGTAATAACTGGCATTTTTGAGTCTTTATGATGGGAGTTGGTTTCTTCTAGCAAGAAGTAGGGTGTAAGAATATTTTAGATAGAGACATGAGTTGTGAAAAATATTTATTGTAAAAAAAAAAACAAGTAGTGCAAGCATGATCATAAAGGGAATCTGATTCTCAAACTCTGTGTCAAGGAGTGATGATGGAATTGTGGAGACTGTGCCAACCTGGAGAAAGTATATTATGTCTAAGAAGGGAAAATCAATCTCACTTTTCCCCAAATTATGAAACTTGATCTGTCCATCATGAACACAATGCTGTATGATATACCAAGCCAGGAAGATGGATGTGCAAAACATCATGAGGAAGATCTAACTTCTGTGCCACCTCCTGCTTCATTGCTAACCCTTTCTCAGTGTGTACCTATGGCTGCACTGAGACATCTCTGAGACATCCAGAAAGATATCCAGAGCTACAGGCCAATATTGATATTTGATAGTGGCTAATGATGAGCAATTAATTAGGACTTGGAAAAATAAGAAAAATTTATGACAAGGAGGGCTAAAAAAGATGTGTGTGGTTGTGGCTCTCAGAATGAGCATGGAGCGTGAAGATATTTGTGTTGCATGTAAAGCTTACCAAAAGATATTCCACATAGAGGAGACTCTCAATAACCAGATAAACAAGACGATCTGTCCTGTGGATGCCCATCAGCTTCTTTCTCCAGGTACCCTTGAAACTTCACAGTGAGTCCATGTACAAAGAATTCATGGCTACAAGGATAGAGACAATGAATGGGTTAAAAAATGAGAATTTTCCCTTGCCTACATGATCTGGCTACTCTGTTGCTAAGTTAACAACCACTCAACAACAGTGGGCCAAAATTCAGCTTCTAATGTAGCACAATGCCCTGACAGACTAGCCAGCCTCTGTGCCAGCTTGATGACATTAGATCTTTCCCAGTATGTAGAGGGCAGCGGTTTCCCCACGCTAGAATAGAGACATGATTCGGATATGGATTTACCTTTATGGTTTTCATGTGTCTACTAGCAGCATTAACCATGGACTTTAAAAACTTGGGATATAATTACATAAAGTTATATTTTGATGAGTTTGAAAGGTACGCATATTCATGTAATCCTTACCCCAATTAAAAGGTGGAGATTTTGCATCAGGTCAGTAAATTCTTTTGTATCTCTTTTTCAGTCAATTCCTTAAGGCAACAACTGTTATCTTTCCTGTTATCATAGACTGATTGTATCTGTTCTTGAACTTTATATAGATGAATAGTATTTCATTGTAGGAGTATACTACAAATAGTTTTCACATTCTCCTGTTTATGGACATTTGGATTGTTTTCAGTTATTTTTTCCATCATAAATAAAGGTGCTATGAATCTTCATATATAAGCCTTTTTGGAAATATATGTTTTTGTTTCTCCTGAGTAAAGATTTAGGAGTGGAACTGCTGTCTTAGAATAGCTGTATGTTTAATTTTATGAGAAACCTGCACACTGCTTTCTAAAGTTGTTATACTAATTTTTGTCTCTATCAGCAAGATAAGAATTTCAGTTGCTCCATATTCGTGGTGATATTTGATGTTGCAGTCTTTTCAATCTTAATCATTTAAAAATGTACATGTGAAATAGTAGTTCATTATGGCTTTAATTTGTATTTCTATCATGACTAAGTGATATTGAGGAAGCTAAGAAGATTATTTGGTGGTTATTTGGTGCTATATTTATGATATATAACATATACATCTTCCTTATGCAGTGTTTTTCCACATTTCTGCTTATTTTTAATTGGGTTTTAGCCTTTTTATTGATTTATATGTGCGCTTTATTATTGATTTATATGTGAACTTTATATATTTATATATATTTATACATTCTGTATTCAAGTGCATTTTAAGATATAAATATAGCGAGCATTTTTTCCCAATATGAGGCTTCCCTCATCACATTTTTTATGGTGATTTTTGATGAGAAAATTAAATTTCAATGAAGTTTCGCTTATCAAATTTTTTTCTTTTATAGTTATTCTAAGAAATATTTCCCTATTCCAAGGTCATCCACATATTTTCCTATTTTTTTTAAGAGATTTTGATTTAACTTTTAAATTAAATTAATTTTTGTGTATGGTGTGAAATAAGGAACGTGATTCATTTCCCTGTATAAGCTTGTCCAATTGTTCCATCATCATTTCTTGAAAAGGTTATTTTTTTTCACTTAGTTGATTTGATGTCTTTATTAAAAGGCATTATGTCTCCAAACTGGAGTGAATTATCCAATTTCTGACTTTCCCTGGATAATATCTTGGTGTTCAACAAACTCTGCATTGGCGTTTCTAATCTGATATGGCAGATTCACAACTGAACTGATTAAACATCATGAATACTCACAAGCAGCATTGCCTGTCCTCATGGTATCTATACAATCACCTTTGATGGAACAATGTTTAAAAAATGGTGGAAAGAGGGAGAATTAAGAAGAAAGTAAATAATTGAAAATATTAGTGGGGAAAAATGTAAATCAGATAAACCAGAAAAACCCTCTTGATCTTAAAAGAAAATGGAGGAGAATTAGGTGGGAATTAACAGTGACTAAATAAACATCATCTTAGTTAATTCTCATAACAATCCATTGAGGTAGATATTATTATCTGCTTCTATAGATGAGGCATTTAGGCTTAGTGATGTTTGTTTTGGAGAAGGTAATTGGTAGGCAAGATTCCTGGATGGCCCCTATGCCTCTCCATGCCTTGGATGATCCTTCCTTTGAGTTGGGACAGAACTAGTGAATATATGATGGAATATCATTCCTGTGATTAGATTACATAGTACAGATGAATGAATTTCGAAGATGTAATTAAGGTATATAATCAGTCATCTTTGAATTAATGAAAGAGAGATCATTCTGACTTGGCTTGACCTAATCATGTGAGCCTTTAAAGATGAGAGGTACTGGAATGATTCTCTTGTTGGCTTGGAAGAAATGAGTTGTATGTTGTGAGAGGGCCATGTGACTAGGACCTGAGGGGAGTTCCTAGGAGAGAAGAGCAACTCCTGGCAGATAGTTAGTAAGAAAATGGAGCTATGGCGGCAATAAATGCAATTATGCCAACAAGCAATGAGCTCTGAAGAGGACTCCAGCCTCAGATGAGATGCAGTCCTAGCCAATAACTCTTTTTCAGCCTAGTGAGACCTGGTGCAGAGAGTTCACCTGTGCTTGCTGGACTTCTAACCTGCAGAAACTGTGACATAAATGGATGTTGTTTTACACTGCCAACATTTTGTTTTGGTAATTTTTTACACAGTGGTAAAAACGTAATATAGTAATGAAGGAGAAATAGATAAATATATACATTGGCAATCTTGATTCCTTCATTTGGGACTTCCTGAAGATACAATGAATTTTCTTCAATGAGATTTTGTTATAGTCCTGGCTTTTTATGAGTTCCTACTCAGAATCTAGGAAAACAAGCATAAGTTACTTGTATTACGTCTATATTGCCTCCTTTCATAGAGCCCTCACATGGTTTACACTCCTATAACTCTCCCCTCTCTTCATAATATCTTTTGTGATGGAAATGACTGAAAATGAAGCAAAAGGAGGAATAACCACAAGCTTTGCCTTTCACTTTAATTCTTTCTCTTTTCTTGCAATTCCACTAGGAAAATGTTTCAACTAGATAGAGAAAAAGTCAAAGGAAACATATAATGTATGAGGAAATGGAGGAAGATGAAAAAGAAAAGGAGTTTTAATCTAAATATATTTCTAACTTTGACAGGTTCAAGAAATGCTCCATTTGCCTGCTATGAAGAAATACAAAATCATAATGATAGATTTGGGAACTGTGGTAAGAAATCAGGCAGATATATATTCTGTGGATGGAGGTATGCTATGCAAATATTAAAGATACTTTTTTTCTGTTCTATAAGATTCTATTTTTAGTTTTTCTCTATATATGGCATTCATTCTACTGGTTTCAACTATCACATACGTATGGGAGTGAATCTCAAATCAAAATAGCCCTGACATCTTTCTTGTGCTACAGGCTTAAATTTCCATTTAATTTTTAAACATTTATATATAATGATCATTAGGCTCCTAAATTCAATCCAAGATTGAAACTAGTAATACCCATTGCACCTTTCCTCTCTGAACCTACTCATTTTTTTACAAAAATAAAATAGTATCCCCATTCACTCAAATGCTTGCCCAAGCTGAAGACTGCCCAGTGTCTATAAAATGAAACTTAATTTCCCCTACATCTGAAGAGCCACCTCTTTGATATTTTGGACATGAATTTATTTTCACAAACATTTATTAAGAACCTATTATGTGCTGGATACTGGGCCAGATGCTAGTTAGCAAAACATTCATGGCCCTTGTACTCATGGAATTTTTAGACTAGTAAACATACCATGTAGTTTTATGCTTCCTTGATTTGCTTATGCTGCTACTTTTGTTGAGAAATACCTTACTCGGGCTGTTGAAATCCTACTGATTTGTAAGCTTTGACACAGGTGGTTTCTTCTCGATGGAGTTTTCCCTAACTGCTAAGTTAGAATGTGTCCTCATCTTAAATCTCTGTAAGGATTTGTTTATTTCACTTGTATCACTTTTAATGGGATTTACGTCACACTTAGTAGCAGACTCTAAGGTTTTTAAGGGTAGGGGTCACAACTTATTTATCTTTTTATCTCTCTTCAGAGGGATATAAAGTACTTGAGTGAATTGATTATTTGACAATAAGTATATAAATCTGAACAGTGACTAAAAGACTATTAGTGGGCTGGCCCCTGTGGCTAGTGATTAAGTTGGCACTCTCCACTTTGGCAGCCCATGTTCAGTTCCCAGACATGGACCTAACCACTCATCTATCAGTGGCCACACTGTGACTGTGGCTTACATACAAAATAGAGGAAATTGGCAACAGATGTTAGCTCAGGGAGAATCTTCCTCAACCAAAAAAAAAGAAAAGAGGCTATTAGTACCATTGAAAGACGAGCTTATATCAATGGCTTCTACTTTTTTACATTTTACTGTAAATGTTAGTGTTAAAGTTTTACATTTTCCCTAGATACATTGCTGTAAGTGGAGAACCATTTTTTATTTTTATTACTTTTGTCAAAGAAAGCAAATCTGAAGTATTTCTAATAAATGCCCAATGTAGAGTAATCATATAATTTTATTATGTTTGTAGGAATCTTATATGTGGAAAATTAATTTGTACCTACCCTTCTACAAAACCTTACTATCAAGAAAATGGTGCTGTGATTTATGCTTTTGTACGAAATACTATATGTATAACTCTAGACCTCCAAGTGAATGATCCAGATCCAATGTTGGTCCATAGTGGCGCTATTTGTGATGATGGCAGGGTAAATGATTCAAAATGTATTTTTTTCAAAATCTAGCTTTATTCATTTCTTTAATAAATGTTTTCATTTAAGTGTAAATTTCAATTCATTTCTAGTGCTATGTAACCTTAAATATTTGGATAAGGGGGAAATGAATAAGCTTCACTTGGTCTCCAGATATTAAGAAGGAAATGGAAATGTTTGGTCCCCTTCAGAATTTTGATGTTGTGAGCAAGGAAACTCCAAGTGTTTTGGAGCTGAGTGGGGAGGAGAGAGATATTCAGAATACACTGTAGTTAAATACTCCATAACATGGAAATTTGCTTTCTTTTTGGAGAAGAAAGAAGAAATCCACCTACTAATATATGTGTCTTTGTGGCCCTGTAGATAAGAGTACAACTTAGATAAGGCTGCTTAGATTCAAATCTTCACCTCTTATTTTTTGACATTTCACAAATGACCTAACCCATCTGAGATTCTGCAACTGTATGTAAAGTTGGGATAATAATAGCATTTACTCTATGCGTCATTGCAGAGATTAAATGAAATAGCAGTATAAAGTGCTTAACATGATGCCCAGCACATAGTAAGAGTCAAATATAGGTTTGGCATTATTATCGATTGTTATTATAATTCATTATCTCTGAGGCTGACCCAAATCTGGAGAAAACATAGAAGGAATAAATTCACTTCAAAATCTCATTAATTCCTGACCAGATCTTTGCTCATGAGGAACTATAGTATAGTGTAAAGTGTAGACTTTAAAGACAGATGCACATAGATCTGAATTCTGACTCTTCCACTTACTCGATAGATGATTTTGAACAAGTTATTTAGTAAGTGAAATGTACGTATTGATAGCTACTTTTAGTGGTTTTAGAGTTTAAATGAAGTTTATTGCAGGTAAAGTATATAGTCTCCTTAATACTGGCTTCCTCTTCATGCTCAGGAGTCATAAATGCCTTCTTGAATGAGGTATATGCCAAGGAGCTCAGTAGATACATTTAGGCCATGCAGTCAAAACAATTAAAAAGTGAAACACAGGGCCCGACCTCATGGCCTACTGGTTAAGTTTGGCATGCTCTGCTTCGGTGGCCTGAGGTTCAAGGGTTTGGATTCCGGGGGTGGACCTACACCACTTGTCAGCCATGCTGAGATGGTGACCCACATACAAAAGAGAGGTAGATTGGCAACAGATGTTAGCTCAGGATAAATCTCCCTCACCCCCCCCATAAAAAAAAGAAAGGCAGAAACAGGCAACAGATGATTTGATATTACTTAGTTACCAATTTAGTAAGAATAGAATCTTTTCTATAACATGGATTGTTCTTCTCAGTGAGAAGGTATGAGAACAAATTTTACCAGATGGTTTTTAAGGATACTGTAAATCATATATGATGAAACATTCTTGACAATTTTATGTCAGTAGTGTTCTTACGTAACAGGACTCTTCATCTCAATTTTAACTGAGATAGGCAGACAATAGATACTACATTCCAAAAGGAGCTGTTAGGCTCACCATCATGGCCAAGAATTAATGAGAAGACTCAACACGTTGAAGTTTTAAAGGGTTGGGTTATTTGGATTGGAAAGGGATTTATGAGGCCACTTCTTTGAAGAGAGTTGTGCTGTGCTTTAATGTTTAAAAGAAAATAATTTTCATATACATAGTCTCATTTTAACCTTGAAACAAATCTCAAATGCTTTAGAAAATATTGATGTACTCATGTAAGAAAATTGCATCTGAGGGAAGTTGATATTGCTATAAATAATAGAGTTGGAATATATCCTTAATCCTTGGATTATTATATTTTAAACTTAAAAGGATTGTATCTGGATGTTTAACACATTCCACAATAGAATGTTAGATATCTGTAGTATATTTTAATAAAAATTTCTATTATCTTTATTAGGGGACTCTAATAATAGCTCATGTTTAATGAAAACAGTATATATCTGATTATATGGAATTGATTTTGATTCTATGCAAACTTTTGATATGTGCAAGGAATATAGGATACTGTCTTAACTGTGCTCTTAGGAATAGTTTTGTTAGATTTCAGGGAATTATAATAAAAAGTTATTTGCTTATGTTTTTTTATGTCAGTCTTGTTTCATTTCTATCTCCCACTTTCCTGTCCTGAATCATTTTTTAAGACTGTATTTTTTAGAGCAGTTTTATGTTCACAGCAAAAGTGAGAGGAAGGTACAGAGCTTTACCCTGTACTTCCTACTGCCATGAAAGCATAACCTCACACATTATCAACATTCCTCACCAAAATGGTACATTTGTTACAGCTGATAAACCTACATTGACACATCAGAATCACACAAAGACAATAGTTCACATAAGCATTCACTCTTGGTGTTGTACATTGTATTAGTTTTTGACCTATATTATTTTCCTTCTCTTCAAAGAGCTTCTTTTAACATGTCTTGCAAGGTAGCTCTGCTAGCAAAAAATTCCCTCATTTGTTGTTTGTCTGAGAAAGTTTTCAGTTCTCCTTCACTTTTAAAGGATAATTTTTCAGTATATAGAATTCTAGGTTGGTGGTTTTTTCTGTCAACAGTTTACGTATTTCACTCCACTCTATTCTGACTGCGTGGTTTCTGAGGAGAAGGCAGATGTAATTCTTACCTTTGTTCCTCTATAGGTAGAATATTTTTTTCTTAACTCTGGCTTTTTCAAGATTTATCCTTTACTTTTCTGTCATTTGAACATGATATGCCTAGGTGTAGTTTTTCTGGACATTTATTCTTCTGCTTGTTTTCTGAGCTTCCTGGATCTGTGCTTTGGTGTCTGACATTAATTTGAGGTAATTCTCAGTCATTATTCTTTCAAATATTTCTTCTGTTCCTTTCTTTCTTTTCCTGGTATTTCCATTACACTTTATGTTATACCTTTCATAGTTGTCCCACAGTCCTTAGATATTCTGCTACTTTTTAAAGTCTTTGTTCTCTTTTCTTTTTGGTTTTCGAGGATTCCATTAATATATCTTTTAGCTCAGAGATTCTTTCCTCAGCCGTGTCCAGTGTACTAATAAGCCCATCAAAGGCATACTTCATTTTTGATACAGTGATTTTTTTTCACTCTGTCATTTATTTTTGGTTCTTTCTTAGGATTTCTATTGCTTTGCTTACATAGCCCGTCTGTTCTTGCATTCTGTCTACTTCATCTATTAGCCCTTAGCATATTAATCATAGTTGTTTTAAACTCCTAGTCTGATAATTCCAATATCCCTGCCATGTCTGGTTCTGATGCTTGCTCTGTTTCTTCAAATTGTGTTTTTTTTACTTTTAGTATACCTTGCATTTTTTCTTGTTAACCAGACATGATGTGCCAGGTAAAAGACCTACTGCAAGCAGGCCTGTAGTAATATAGTGGTGACATGTAGGGGTGGAGGAAGAATTCTTTAGTCCTATGATTAGGTCTTAGTCTTTTAGTGAGCCTATGCCTCTGGACTGTGAATTTTATAAGTGTTTCTCAGTTTTTTTTCTGCTCCCTTAAGTGGGACAGGATGGCTGAGGTGGGCTGGAATTGGATATTTCCCTTCTCCCTACACGGAAGGCTAGAGCTGACTGTAATTGGGTATTTCACTTCTCCCAGATCAGTTAGGTTGGTAAAACCCCAGCTGGATAGACTCTGGTTAACTTTTTTCTCCTAAGGGCAAGCCTCGTTAAGAAGAACAGAGAGCTCTGACTGTTTCAAAATGGTTCCTTTTCCCCTCCTCCTGCCAGAAAGCAAGGACATTTTTCTCTGATATTTACTAGGAGAACCTAGTCAAGCTCCTGGAGGTAAATCTCACAAAATTGTGGGAGTCTCCCATGACTGGGTCCCCCTGGAGTTTTTAACTCTCAGAATTGTCCATACTGAGCCTACAGCAGTTTGTCAATTACAGTTCCAGTTTTCCTACCTTGGCCCAGATACCTGAGGTGGTTTCTGCTCATGACTGCTTGTGTTCGCATGTCTGTCTCTCCAATCTTGGGGGGCATTGGTTTGCCCTCTGTCTCCACTTCTCTTATGGATCCTAGAAGAGTTGTTGATTTTTCAGTCTGTTCAGTGTTTTACTTATTGTTGGGATGGAGTGGAAACTTCTAGGCTCCTTACATGCAGAATTGGATATTGGAAGCCTGAATCATTTTTTTAAGAAATTTATTTTTAAACATAGACTTTGTTTTTTAGAGCAGTTTTAGGTTCACATCAAAATTTGCAGAAAATACAGGGAGTTCCCATATAACCCTTATCATCCCTACATGGACACAGACTCCTACACAATCCACAACCCTACTAGAGTGGTACATTTGTTACAATTGATGAACCTACATTGACACATAATTATCACTCAAAGTCCATGGTTTACATTAGACTTATCTGAAAAACCCAAAATACTTGGAGATTAAACAGCACATGTCTAAATAACACATGTGCCAAAGAAGAATTCTCAAGAGAAAGTGAAAAATATTTTGAACTAAATGAGAATGAAAATACAACATATAAAATTTGTAGGATGTAGCAAAACCAGTACTTAGATGGAAATTTATTGCACTGAATGGTTATGGTCTTATGTTTGAAAATTACTGATTTAAATGTTAACATAGCTGAACTCCTCTGACTTGGAAATTTGTTTTTTGTATGTGTTTTTCTTTAGTTGTGTGTGGATCGGCAATGTGTAGAAGCAAGGTTCCTCCAGAGCCAATTGCACAATTGTTCAGCAAAGTGCCATGGCAATGGAGTAAGTAAGCACATGATTTATATTTCTCAGGATCGCATCTATCTTGGACACCTTTCAGAATCGCTCACTAATTTATTCAACATTTATTTGGTTCCTACTATGTACTAGGCTCTCTTTTATCTAGCTTCAATATGGAGCTGAATTGGGATACTAAATTTGGAGCCATAGGTAATTTTAGAGAACATTGTATAGAATTAAATTGTTGATGACCTTAACAAATTTATTATTACAGTTAAGTGCTTTTCAGAGGTGTTAAATATTCCAATAAATACATTAACCTGTTCATTAAGGGAAGATAATTATGCTATCATTCATGTGTCTGTGACTACATGGGGTGATGGAAAACTATTGGTTTTATCCCTCTTCTTTTTGTTTTGGAGATTAGCCCTGAGCTAACATATGATGCCAATCTTCCTCTTTTTGCTGAGGAAGATTAGCCCTGAGCTAACATCTGTGCCCATATTCCTCTATTTTATATGCCTGCCACAGCAGGGACTTGGGGAGAAGAAAGTAAAAGATTGGCAACAGATATTAGCTCAGGTGCCAGTCTTCACATGAAAAAAATTTGTATCCTGCAACTTTAAGAATTCATTGATTCAATCTAACAGTTATTTGGTGGAGTCTAGGATTTTCTATATATAAAATCATGTCATCTACAAACAGAGACAGTTTTGCTTCTTCCTTTTCAATTCTGCCACCTTTTATTTCTTTTTCTTGATGATTGACCTAGCTAGCATTTCCAGTACCGTGTTGAATATGAATGATGAGTGGTCACCCTCGTCTTGTTCCTGATCTTAAAGGAAAAGCGTTCAACCTTTCATCATTGAGTATTGTGTTAGTTGTGCACTTGTCATAGGCCTTTCTGGTCTTTATTGTACTGAGTTTTGTTCCTTCTGCACCATTTTTATCATGAGCGAATGTAGAATTTTGTCAAATGCTTTTTATGCATCTGTTGAAATGATCATATGATTTTTTTCTTTTGTTCTATTAATGTGATGTAACACATGTATTGATTTGTGTATGTTGACTATTTTTATATCCTAAGGATAAATCCCAGTTGATCATGGTGAATGATCCTTTTAATGTGAATTTTGTTTGCTAGCATTTTATTGAGAATTTTTGCATCTGTATTCATAGGGATATTGGCCTGTAGTTTTCTTTTCTTGTAGTGTCCTTTTCTGGATTTGGTATCAGGTAATGTGGCTTTGTGAAATGAATGTGAGAGTATTACATTCTCCTTGCATTTTTGGAAGAGTTTGAGAAGAATTGGCATTATTCTTCTTTAAATGTTGGGTAAAATTCACCAGTGAAGGCCTCAAGTCCTGGACTTTTGTTCTTTTGGAGACTTTTGATTTTCCTTACAATTAATTCCTTACACTTATTTATTCACAGCCAAACATTTGTGCCACACAACCATTGGATCTCAGTCGGGGCTTCCCAATAAATACCTGGGTGGTGCAATTAGTCAGTGCCAAACCAGTTGCTATCCTCTAATGTGACAGGATGACTGCACAGTTCTAGTGATATCCATCCCATATCATGGTACAATTGGGTTGGTTCTGTTTAGTGATTTTTCTGTTCCCACTGTCGGGGTGCTGGGTGCTCTAATGTCCATAATCTAGGGTGAGCCACATAAACTCATACCAAATCTGAGCATAGCCATGCATAGCTCTAATGCTGGTATTTTTAAGACCCTTCCACTCAGCAGTTTTTTAGCCTGGCTGTTTAGTTTGATTGAAAAAAAAGAATCCACATGCTCAGTGTTATTGAGAGTGTGTGCCACAGGCAGGTTTCTGGATCAGTATTAGTAACATCAGGCAAATTCAGAGTGCCAGTCCTAGCTTTTTCTTCTTGAATGTACTGCTTTAGGGCCTTCCAGTCCTCTCACCACCATGGCAATCCTGATGAGCTGGAGAGGGGCAGCTACCCACATAACCAACAGTTGGATTGATTCCTTTGCTGGGCATACTAGTGGGTCCACTGTGGAAAGGTATTTTCACCAGGTGTCCGTCCCATGAGAGGACACCACAGGAACAGTCTAAGGTCGAAAACACAGATATTTAGTAGGAACTTGTATGGAAGGTGTTCCTCTTCTATAAGAATTACACTTGTGGCCTGATTCTTAGGTTAATGTGGCTGCAGCTTTAGGAATTTGACCTGGCTGTGCATACTATGCGTGTTGGCTGGGGGAGTCAGCACTGTCAGGCATGAGGAAATGGACTGGGGGCAGGATATACCAGACCAGGACCCCCACCTTCTCTCCTCTTTCAGTGGTGGGTGTTCCATTCCAGGTATAGTGCATTTCAACAAGTTCAGCTTGCAGCAGGACAATGGGATCCCAGTGGAGATGGAGTAGTTCCCCCTCACCCAGGGGTATGAAGTAACTCACCCCTCCTGGTGGGACATCCCATTTCAAATTCCAGTAGATGACTCCTTTCCTAGGCATAATGGGGCTTGGTGTTCTCAGTATCATAGCATAGATCCATGGTGAGAGTTGGGGCAACAGCCATTTCTCACAATCCATACCATTATGGTATTGGGTTCCTCGGCATGGGTCCCCAGTCTGGCCTATGGGGCAACAGGCCCTGCTGGTTGAGTGTTCAAATGTAAAGCCTGGGACAGTACTTTAGTCCACCTGGCCAAGGTGGTTTATCTGTTAGTAATTTAGCTGCTTTAATATTCCATTTTTCCTTTCTACCAACCCTGCTGCTTGTGGGTTATAGGGGAGAGGGAACCTCCATTCAATGTAATGTTCTTTGCCCAGTCTTTCATATCATGGCCTTTGAAATGTGACCTCCAATCATTGTCTATTTGACAAAAGTATCTCTACATGGTACTCAGTTTCTCTTATCCCATAATGGTGGCAGCCTGGTTTGCATGGCAACAAGGGAAAGCTGATTAGGCCAGATGCAGTATCACACAAACCAAGGCATAATTAGAACACTCACTAGGAGGGAAGAGACAAATATCATCAATTTGCCAATCTTTCTCTGGTTGGGAACTCTGGTGAATAGCCCCAGACTCCTTTGACAGTTTCCTTGGGCATTATTAAGAATACACAGGACATGCTGTTACTGCATTAATGAAGTCAATATAGTTCAAGGGCAATCTGGCATCCTTGGTAATATGCCATCCCCCCACTGGTGGCCACTCTTCCTATGCACTCAATCTGCTATAGCTACTGAAGGGTCAGTTTCTAGGGCTTATATCTGAGCTAGGGCATCAGCTTCCTGATTGCCAGGGGGTGTCAGTGCCTTATGAACTGGGATGTGGGACAGTGAGTACCACCTCAGCCTCTTGCAGGTAAACCCAAATGTCTTTCCATATATCCTGACCTCACAAGGGCTGATTCATGATTATCCACACTTCGACTTACCATTGTCCAAGCCATAGGGTTAATCCCTTTAGAACGACCCAACTGGCAGTCCAAGGAGTTAATGGCCAGGGCTTATGAGTGATCATGAGTCAAATCGGTCTGAGTTCAGCCCACTGGCTGCTGCAGTTTCCTCTTGTTCCCAGCATCTGTATACCACGCATTAGTGGGATTTTCCCCTACTCCCTGTCTATGGGCCGCAAGGGCCACCATAGGAATAGGATGGGGCATTTGGAGGATCTACATTTTCTACTGTGCCTATAGTACCCAGGCCTATAACATCTAACTGATGTCAGAGTTTACATACTTTTTATATTATGTATCCAATAACAGATTACTGTAGTAATCATTGTTTTTACTACGTTTGCTTTTTAACTTTTAAACTAGAGTTGTAAGTGAATTATGCACTGCTAATACCATATTACAGGATGTAACTTTTATTTACCGTTACCAGTGAGTTTTATACAACCTTACTTATGTTTTTATGATGTTAATTACTCTCCTTTTACTTGCAAAGAACTCCCTGTAGTATTTCTTGTAAGGCAGTTCTGGTGGTAACGAACTCCTTCAGCTTTTGTTTGTTTGGGAAAGTCTTTCTCTCTCTCTTATTTTTGAAGGACATTTTTGGCAGGTACAGTATTCTTGGATAACAGGTTCTTTTCTTTCAGTATTTTGACTATATCATCCCATTCTCTCTTGACCTGAAAAGTTTCTGTTGAGAAATCCACAGATAGTGTTATTTGAGTTCCCTTTTATGTGACTTTTTACTTTTCTCTGTCTACTTTCAAAATTCTTTCTGTCTTTGACTATTGACAATTTAATTACAATGTGATTAGGTGTAGCCCTATTCAGATTCAACCTATTTGGAGTCTTCTGGGTCTCAAAGATCTGATGTCCATTTCTCTTCCCAGGTTTTGGAAATTTTCAGCCTTTATGCCTTTAAATATACATTCTTTCCCTTTCTCTTTCTCTTCTTCTGGAATTCCCATATTGCAGATATTGTTTCTTTTTATGTTGTCCCATAAGTCCCAAAGGCCTCCTTCAGTCTTTTTCATTCTTTTTCCTTTTTGCTGCTCTGACTGATTTCAAACGTCTTGCCTTATAGATGACTGATTCTTTCTTCTGAATGATCAAGTCTGTTGCTGAAGCGGTCTATTGAATTCTTCAGTTCAATCTTTGTGGTCTTTAGCTCTAGGATTTCTGTTTAGGTTTTCTTTTTTGGATAGTTTTATTTGTTGCCTGGATTCTCTGGCCAGGCTTCCTAGATAGTTGTGACTGAGTAATATTCTGAGCAGTAAGCAGCCCTATGAGTTAACTTCCTTACTCTGGCACGGCAGCTTAACAGCCCCCAAGGCCTGAACTGGCCGTTGTTTGGGGACCTGAATCAGGCTAGACTATGCACTGTATTTCCTGCTCAGATTGGGCCGTGAGTTTTGCTCTGCAGTTAGAGAAAGCCCTGGGTTGTGCCTTCTGTTCAAGTGCCACTGTAAGCAGGGCTCTAAGATGGCTACTTAGCCCCTGTGAGCTCTAGTTAAATCCCCTGGTCAAGTGGGCTGAAGGCTGTATTCAGCAGTGAGTGAGGCTACAAATTAGTTTCCCTGCTCATGCTGGGTCCTATATAGGCCCC